ATGTGAGTAGTCTTACTAACATGCAGACTGCATTGGGGAGTGGGTTGTTGCTGATGCACGTAGGTTAAAACTTAGCACCTTATCATTTGATCTCCCTATGATCCATTTACATTTGTTGTAGTTTTTAGTATTTTCTGCTCTCTTTTTGATTAAGGTGTTTACCTAATTTATTTGGTTATTCTTGTGGTTGGTTTTTAATGTGTTTTGGTATATGAAACCCAGGATAGGTAACTGGATTAATGGCTACTTGGGGTTTTGGCAAAGGAGGTTAGGGGGAAATGAGGAGCTAATAATGACGAGTACAAGAATGAAGACAATGTCCTAAGACTGATTGTGGTGATGATTGTACAACTCTTCTTGATGCGAATGAACTATTGAATTGTATGATATATAAACTGTCAAAGTACGGTGTCCAGTTTACACATTTAGGAATATCAGGGTTTGTCTTAATCATGCAAGTAATTGTTTTCTGTTATTTATGACAGCGAAAAACATCACCGAGGGCAATAAAGCTAACCCATGTCGTTAGGTGCCTCCAGGCAGCTCTAACGCAGAGGCCCTGTGTACACTGTCCGGTCTTGTGTCTCCTCCTATTGCAGCCACATGTCCATCTCTCACTGACATCTCCTCTAGTTTACTGCCCTCCGCTTTACCACGCAGGAGAGTCTGTCCTTTCTTTTTAACACTTTTATTAGCACTTCAGCCATGTCATACAATTCAATAACTCAATCCTACCAAGCAGAGCTGTATCGTTATCACCACATTCATAGAGAACATCAATACTTTGTCCAATGGCATGAAATTTAAGATCCTGTTGCTAAGAGTTTTTGAGTTGAGGTCAGTAGAGCTTCAGTCCATGAGTTGTTGCTTTGTACACACGGATTCTTAATATAAACTGAGCTGTTTATGTTGAACATGGAAATTGGTAGTAGAAAATTCCCTGTGTTAATTCTTCCAGGTGTAAATTCTTGCCTATAGATGAAAACCTGTCATACTGCTGCAAGGGGAGCATTGATAGTAAACATATGGTGATTCTGGATCCCCTTTCATTGGACACCCACTCAGCCAGGGGTCCCACCTACGGTCCAATGACCCCCATTTGCAGTCTTGGGGTGGTCCTTCCTTTGCTTCCTTCCGATGAGGGTATTTCAGTCCTAAGTCCAACGGTGCAGATAGTCTTGAGACAGGACCCAGTTCATTCAGCCAGGCTTCTACGTGGAGTTCTCCTGGTGTGGCCCTCAGGGGAATGCTAGGTTGCTTGGAAGGCCAATGTCCAAGGTCATCACAGGGCTTACTTCATGGCGTGGTTCACCAAGGGGTGGGTAGAAACAGATTTGTAGTGTCTACCCAGGATCATTGTTCCCTTAGGTTCTTGTTGTTCAGCACCCCTTCCTGATTGGAGGTTGCTCCTCCCCATTTACCCATCATACTCGCCAAGAGAAATCTCACTGCCTCCTCTGAAATGTAGATGGTTCCCTCCCTGATCTGAACTTGATTTTGCAGTAAAGTTCTCCTCTCATTCCTGTGGAGGGCCTCTTGGTTTGTCCACCATGCCCTTCTCCAGGGATTGGTTCCCCCGATGACGCGTCCAAAGGATGTGAAGTGAAGCCTGCCATCCTCACTGGTCAGAAGCATCCTGGCTGGACTCCCCCTAAGACGGAGTCTTCTGGCAGTACATGGCACTTCCAGTATGCTCCACCAACATCGAAATTCAAATCATCAATGTTTCGGGCTTCCTTAATCATTGCCCAGCTTTCACATGTGATGTATGAAGCAACGGAAAACTCCCAGGCTTGTCAGGTGCACCGTACATCATCAGACACATCTGTGTTCTCTAATGCCGTAAACAGGGTCTGTTATTCTGTGATAACCTGCTTGGTACTGAGCTGTGGTGTAAGCAGAATTCTCCCTGCATGGTAAATTGGAACAACTTTTATCCTCCAACGGGCAAACACTGGAGGCACACAAAAGGAGGTGATGTGGGCATTAATGACTTATAAACACCAAGGGACCAACATCAGCTGCTGAAAGTCCGACGAATGGGAAATTGAGCCTTCTGACGTATGCTTTATTTGCTCCTGTGCCTCACAGTGGGGTCACTGGAGAGGAGGAGGACCCCACACCCGCCACAGAGCCCGTCAGCTCTTTTTCCCTTTCTGTAGTCTTTACCCTAAACCTGAAAGAAAACGTTCAACCAACTTTTGAAATACTTTCTGCAGTATCTTTTTAAATATTTAATTTACTCTTTTTGTTGTTTGCTCCTGGACTTAAAAGTTGGGGCAATTCACAGGGTGGGTTTGCATGATGAGGGAACTGACGATTTACACTGGGGTGAATATGATGGTATGTTACTTAATGTGAACAAGGGCACAAAAATGAAAATGATTTTCAAGAGAGTTGAAACACTGTATTTGGTTAAACTTGTGTATTTGTTCAATGAAGACTGCACTTAAAAAAAAATGAAGAATACGCTACAAAGATCACTGAAGCTAAATGAAAATATAAAGGCACTTTAAAGCAACGCATGCCACCTTGGTGACGCAGCAGTCAGAACACTAGGCTGCTGCAGCGGAGGCATTGAGCCCGCTGTCTTGGGGGAGAACAACGTGCGAGCAGACGGCACCGGATGCCAAGGACGCTTTCCTCCTCTTAAGAGGCCTGGGGGGCAGTGGGCTCACACCGGGCTGTGACCACATGGTCAGCAGTTTGAAACCATCCCTGGCTCCTTGGGAGCTTTTTATTCCCATCAAGGTTAGTCTCGGGAATGCACAGGGGTGCCACTATGAGTTGGGACTGACTCGGCGGCAGCAGGTTTGGTTCTTGGTTTAGTCACTGGGAGTCCTGGTGGGGGGTGGTGGGAATGAATGCATTGGGCTACTCACCGTTGGGGTCAGCAGCTGGGCTTTCGACTCCTGCAGTCTCAGAGTGCCCCCAAGGCATTCAACCAGGTCTGTCCTAGAGAAGGGCACTAGGAATCGGCATTGACTCCATGGCAGTGGGTTTTATTTTCTTACGAGGGTCATTATGAGTCGACTTTATGACATTGGGTTTTGGTTTTTTGAACATCTAACAAGCATTGGCAGCTTGTCCCAAATTGTGGGAGGAAGTCAGATCCTTGCTGCCAGACTGCTGTCTCATCCCACCACAGGGGTGGGCCTGCTCCCTGCTGCTGGGGACAATGGGCAGGCTCCTGTGGGCAGAGTTCGCATCCTACTGATAATGGTCTCTTATCAGTTGGGCCAGGGACAGGCCAAACCGGCTGTCCCTCCTTTTCCTATTGCATGTATGCCTCTAGACCACCCCATTACTGTGTAACCTATGGTGCAGCCCCTCCTGTGACATATGTCTCTACCTGTAATTAGTGGGCTGGCATGCCCCCAAAAGGTATATAGGCATGGGTCAGCAATATAGATCTCTCGGACTCCGACTCTGATCTCCCCTCCTTGCTGCTCACTCCCTGGTCACTCCCCTCTCCCTTGCCCTCCTTCCCTTCCCCCTCTCCACCATGGACCACCAAGCTGGGCTGAGGTGAGCAATGCTACTATGTAATATGTCTGACTGTACTATTGTATTCTCTCTCATGCTCTCGATGACTTTAATATAATGTTTATATATCTCAACCGTACAATTGTGCATTACTGAGCCCAGAAGCAGTATTACTGAACCAGTGTCATTTTTAATTTAATACTACACCAAATCTTCCTTTTCCACCTCCTTTTCCCTCCTGGTAGCCCGTCCTGTCACCTTGACTGCTCCAAATGTGTGGGACTAAATGCTAGCGGGTAAGCATTCTTGAGAGGCGGACTAAAGAGAAATCAGTGTACTGACTAAAAGGAGTCAGATAGGGCCATAAAACGTGTTGAGAATACCTTTCAGGTGTTTCTAACCCACCTAAAAATAGCCAACCCTGTTCGGTTTCTCGGATAAAGCGGGGGCTATTTTTGGGTGGCTCTCAGCCTCTCCTCGCCCCCTTAGCACAGTGGTTAGATGGAAGCTAGGCCAAATTACCCTGCTTTCCCTTTGGAGTTAAAGTTGGCTTATTTGGAAGTAGTGATTCTTCCGGCGATTTAATAAAGTCCCGATTTTTGGAAAGAATGCACGAGAAGCTAGGGTATACGGTTTGTGGCTGCCATGTGGCTATCTCGCCAGGATATGAGTTTTATCGATGGTGTCCCGCTTTACCAATGTTAAAATCTGGTCACCTTAAGCAATGAGCAAATTGTTTTTTTGGGGGGAAATAATTAAACCCCACACCTACTTGTCCCCTAGGAATAAAAAATGAGAACAGAATCAAACCTCTCAAATGTGCACATTCCACTCATTATACTACTTGTCTGAGTACAAAGTAAAGAGATGTAGTGGAATGCTTTGTATAACTTTTTTTTTCTTTCCAAAATTGAAAATCTGCGGGGAGAAGTAAACATGTAAGGGCCTAACAGGCTCTCAGTCTCAATCTTTTCAACCCATGAAGCAGTGCTTCCTCGCGTTCCGAGTGGAGAAACTGAGTTAAGCAGCTCATTAAAAAGCAAGTAACAGTGTCAGCCTGGATTACAAAACACATGATTTGTTTCTACTTCCTTTTTAATTACTTTAGATGGTAGTTTAATGTAAGAAATACACCAGGCATGTTTAATGGGTAATTTGTGTGTGGGTGGGTGGGGAACAAATCTATGGTTTGGATCAAAAGGTACATTTTTTTTGATACTTTTAAGCCAAGCTGCTACTAGGGAGGCCTTGCAGTGCGGCAGCTTGCCTAGCAGCCGTTTGGCTTCACCTTTACCCACGTGTTCTTTGCTTCTCTCAGACGAATGTCCTTGCAGGGAGGCAAAGGACTACATTTTCTATCCTTCTGAACACTGGTAAACTGCTGAGCACTGTTCTGCAAATGCTGGCCACTTCAGAGACGTGCCCCTCCCACAAGTCTGAGAGAGAGAGAGAGAGACTCCTGTGCAGGTTGAGAGTGTGAAAACCGTTCTCATTTAAAACAATCCACAACAAACTCTATGAAAAATAGGTGTTTATTAGGAACAAAGCAGCATTTCCCACTTTCTGTCAGTCACACACAGGCTGACCGCACACGCACACTGGCACACCGGGAACAGGCAGGACGGACGTACAGTTCACAGACTCGGGTCCGTATTCCAGAGAAAACAGCACGTGTCCAAAAGACGATGGAAAGCAGCGGGCATTCCCTTGTACTTGCAATACTGAAACCCTCAGCAAGGGCCTCCTCCCTTAGGCAAGCAATCAAGAATTAGTCATCAAAACACTTGTCACCGTAAAGTCTTAAGTACCATTTTATCCATCAAATCAGACTTTTACTTGGCGTGTTTTACAAAGTGTATTTAATTAAAACTTAACCTCTGCAGAGTACATGTATGTAAAATTTTATGTGTCTGAGACTATACTGTATTAGACTGGTCACTCGTAATTGTTTAATGTTAAAATAATACATAATTTATCCTTCATAGCCCAAAATTCAATGTAAAACCAAATATTAACTGTTCAGCAGAGAAATGTAAATGCTTACAAAGTATGGACTAACCATTTGCATATGTAAATTAAAACATAATTGACTTTTTTTCCCTTTCAAAAATTTCGTATCTTCAAGCTTTTCCTCTACATTAATATTCATTTTCCAAGGACAAGATGATTGGCATTAACTTAACTCAATAAACAAACTACACCAAGAGTGGTAGAGATACTTTGGTGGAAAACGAAGTATTTAACAGTAAAAACATTTGGTAACAATATCTGCTTAATAATATGCTACCAAGCTTTTCAGTGTTGATATGACTTGTTTACACTAGTAAAAATGTTATTTTAAAATATTTTCATAGTTTGGACTTAGTTTAAAAAGAGAAGGCCGTTTCTTTCAAACTTTGTCCATAGAGGAAAAAGAGAAGACCTTTCTGAAGAGAAGGGGGCTGAGAACATAAACTTAAGGTTTATTACTTTGGGATCTATTAAGAATATAAATTTCAATGGCTATTTAGGAATATGCAAAACCCAAACAGAGTACAATTCTTCTGATTCATTTGGGCTAGGAAGTAAAAAACAAGCAAACAAACAAACAACTTGTCGTTACCAGTACAGATCCAATTCACTGTTCACAGACATATCCCTGAACTCTCCTATTATCTCACAAGATTTCTTTGTTGACAGAACAGAATTTGGCACTCCTAAACTCAGAAATAAAGAAGGGGTTTTCTCATCTAATTCTTTCACACTGAAAAAAATCCCAGTGTAAACAGGATTTAAGACCAGGTGGCAGCCTAACACTGTAAGGAGCCCACAAGTTTTACATTCCAAGTCCGTTATGGTTTGAAACAAAGCAATACTTTCCCTTCACTCTTTACTTAACACTGAGATTTCAAATATAAATTGTAGAAACCAGTATATGAAATCTTCAGAAAAATCTTACTAAAAATAATTATAAAAGTGTGTTAGAAATTTAAGATGTAAAATAGAATTGACTTTAAAAGAAAACCCACAGTTTACAAGGAGGGGTTTTCTTTAAAAACCTCCGTCACCGGCTTCTGTTCTGCGTATCTTTGGGTTGCAGGTTACAGCTTCCGTGCCCACCTGGCGGTGCTCCAGAGACAGCCAGCTACCTTCTCTGACCCCGCGGCTCTTCTACCACTGAACTGCCCGCACAACGCTAGCATCAAGCTTCACAAAACATTTGCTCAAGGTCCATAAAATTCTGCTGTCTAGTGCAGATAAACACATTTTTTAATAGGAATGAATAGTTTTATCATAAATTATGATTAGACATTTAAGATTAAGAATTTCCTTAGCAATCTTTAAAAGATTAAATCCACACTGGGAGAAAACGAGGACTGCCTCCAGAGCCATCTTTATACTCTGTAGTTGTAAGTGGCTCTGCAATGAAAGCCCAGGGTCGTCTCAGCGACCCAGATGGCGGGGACCCCCTGGCACGGCACCTTTCATTCACACAGGAGCCCAGACTCGGGGTTACTGTGCTGAAGACCCAGGTCAACTGTGACCGAGGACTTGGTTTCACTACCAGATGATTCCAGAGAAATGTTACTATGGTCTCTGTTTCGTCAACCTGTTTAACAGCAGGTTTCCAAAAATAACCCATCTTTCTTTCAGTTGTAATGAAAATCCTAGCTTTTATTCGCTTGCGCTGTACTTAAGAACAGATTTTCCCACACAACATTTCCCACTGTCCCCACCCCCACCCCCCGGACTTCTATTGAGAAGGCTGAGTGAACGTAATCCGGCGTCGCCGCCTCTGGAACGCCTTGAGATTCCACCTGCTGGGCTCCAGCATGTGAGGCCCGTTGTAGACAAATAGCACGGTCATGTTCTCAGAATAAGGGAGGTTTTGCAGGAGCTGTAGGTGTTGTAAGAGACAAACGGCCACATTTTAAGCAGTGATCTCAACATTACGTGCATATAATCACATATATTATTTCAAACGAATGGAACTCTTATGCTGCTCTCACACACGATGCCAGACTGGAAGGATTATGGGAATGAACACAGCTGATCCCTAAGGATACACTTGGGAGCCTCGAGACCCAACGGTCAGTTGGGATCATCTAACTTCCTAGGTAAGACTGGCGGAAAGTATATGCTCCAGAACTTCCCCAGAACCAACACTCCTCCTCCTCATCCATGTACTTCTTTAGCCACCGCTGTTATCGGGCACTGCAACAGACCGGAACCCCCAATAAGTACAACAGGGGAGTGTGGTTTACAGGCCAAGGTATTTGGTAAGCAATGGCTATTAAGAGATGGTTGCAAAAAAGAACTATTACTAATGAATAAAACTTGAACTTAGGGTGAACTCTGCAATTAAGTTTTTCATGGACACTTAATTGCTACTGTTCCGAGTCAATTCTGCCTCCATGTGAACCTGCCGGAGGCTAGAACTGCTGTGTGGCGTTTCTACGACTGTAAGCCCTACAGGCATGGGACATCTTCATCTTCCGCCCATGCGCGGCTGGTAGGCTTGGACCACAACCATCTGTCAGCAGGCCAATGCCTAATCCGCAGCGCCACCCTGGTCTGACTATACTAATTCACGAGGAGGCTCTGAAAGTTTTTGGGAAAATTCCATCATCCCACAGACTTTTTGAGAAGGTGCCCTCTCTTACTACATTTTTATTTGACTGATTTTATAATTTATGCATAGTACTTGACTGTGACAGAAACGATTTCCTATCACAATGTTCTAACATGAAATATCCCTTATAAAATCATTCTGAGTTTGTCAGTGTCCATCAGAGGGTAGTGGATGTTGGGGGCTGTCGGTTTTCTCTGGGCCAGGGCAGCGGCAGTGGGCACAAGGAGAAAGGACAGCGTATGTCAAAGCCAACTTTTCTGGGGACATGGGCAGGCCTCCAGCTCTAGAGGGCGCACCATCGTCCAGTCCTCTTTTTAAGAGGAGCTCCCTCCTGGAAGAGAAGCGCCGAGATCAGAGAGGAAGCCTCAGTTCTGGACGACACTCCTAGGCACCGCCCTAGGCACCGCCCGTGTCCTTCGCAAAGGATGAGTTTCTGACGAAGCATGTCACCGCTGCTTGTCTTCTTTGCTAATACAAACATTACAGCAACATTTTCAGGTCCTGTTTGGGAGGGTTCCTATTCCGCTTTACATACTGGGTCAAAATGTGCTACATGCGACTTCTGAGTGTATGTGCACTTTTGGGATAATACCCACCTTTGGTGTGATGAAGAAGTACTGGGATGTGTTTTCTTTACAGGCAGTATTTACAACCATTTCAAATACTCTCCTTTCATTGATGGGGTCCATTCCCTTAAAAACAATGATAAGGATGACACTGATATTGGTGTATGAGTGTGGTAGGTTTATTGTGCCAAGCTGGCCAATAGGAAGATGTGGGATTAATCAGGTTGCAGATGATTGGAGGGCAAAGAGATAAATGGCTCAGCAAGGCCTGCCCGCCCCCCTCTCGCTCTCTGGTGATTAAACCAGCATGTGGCTACTTTAGCTAGTTCTCTACCTCAACTTATGAGCTATATTACTTGTGGGACAGCCAACCTGTGGATCGTGTCCCTAGAGCTTGAGGTTCCTTGGAGACCTGCTTCACCACGCTGCTGGTGTGTACATGACTTGAGGCTGGTGGACCCTGTCATCTTGCATTGCCTGAGTTGGATATCCCATCCAGACCTGCTTCGCTAAGCTCCTGAGCTGCTGACTGTTGGTGACCCACCCTGCTGCTGGCTGCCTGTGGCCGGACTGCCTGCTTTGCCCAAGGGAAAACTCAGCTGTCTGCTTCCTTCACCTTTCACTCAGCAGCCCTCGTGAGTGGAAGGACTTTCAGTATATTGACTGTTTCACAGAAGTGAGTTGAACTGAGCCCTCTGTACTGCTGTGTGGACTAATTAGCTGTTATATTCCTCCGTGCTCGCTCTATCTATCTACCTACCTACCTACCTATCATCATAAGTGTCCCGGTTTTGTTTCTCTAGAGAATCCTGTCTAACACCGTAAGACATAAGACCAGAAGTAAAGAAGAGTCACTATACCTGGTTGATTTCATCGACGACTCTAAATGGACATCGATTAAGCTCCTGAAGTGCCATCAGGTATAGCATGGTTGAAACACTTCTTTCACCTCCACTTTGGTGATGAGGCGTTAATTCATGCAGTTGCGTACTACTACGAAATTTGACTCTAATTCGAATTCCGTATTTGTCATAGTCTTCCTATAAAACATTAAGAAATTTAAAAAAACTTTAAATAAAGTTGTTTTCCTGTAATCTGATGTAGATGTTTGGAAGTAGCCGGATAGAATCAATTAGAAGGGTAAAAGCCTCAACGTGTGATCTTCTAGTCTAAAAGTAAGGAGCACGCTGCTAAAGGCTTTCATGGTCCCCAGTAAACTATCCGGCAAAGAAAATACCAAGATGAATAAAGAGCAAACTTTTTCCTTCCCTCGTGCCATTCTTTTCCATCTTGTTTTCAGACGTTTTAGAACTGACAAGGTGAAACACCCTGCGAAGGAAAGGCAGCATCTTCAATGCTACCAGTGACGACGGTGAGAAGACGCGCACATCACGCCACTTCTCGGCTAGGGAGACCCCCGGGCATGTCACCAGAGGGTCAAGATCCTCCCCACTTCATGTTTGTGTTACATGTTAACAAGGTAACAGATAGATTCTAGATGTCTTTTGGGGGGAAAAAAAGACTTTGAAAAACTCAATTATATCAAACATCACACACACACACAACTTAGCACAATGTCTGCCACATATTCAGGTGCTCAACAAACATTGGCAATGCATGCACTAGTTTGTAGGTTTTCCTAAAGCTGAGACTCATAAGGCTTATTTACTGCTCTCAGCGTTACCGCTTCCAGGTCAGGCAGGCTAAGACTTACCTTGAAAGTGAGATACCCAACTTACTAAGCAGTGGTTAACGAATACGTAGACTTTCAAGGTCCAAGATGGCACTGACCCACACAGATATAATAAATGCAGGCCACATAAACAATTTCAAGTTTTCTGGTACTCACAATATAAATTATCACCAAGATATTTTACATTCTTTTTGCATACTGCATGTTTGCTATGTCACACTCTAGCATAGTTTACACATTTCAAGTGCTCAAAAGCCAATGTGGTGGGAGGTTATCATCTTGGGAGAGCACAGCTCTAAGATGAATCAGGAACTTCAAAACCAAAATACGACTCTCTTACCATGAATGTAAGGATTCTAGCAGGCTAATCAATCTTAGAAATACCACCTTCTATCTGTTTAACCCCTCCAAACACATAAATGGCAGCAATGAACTTTTAACAGTTTTGATGTCCAAGGTTTACTTGTAACTCGTATAGTGTATGTTTTCCACAAAATCGTTCTCATGTCATTTCGTAAGCACAGCATCTCTGGTTATTAGAGTTTGTGCTGGACTGTGCCACCTATGCCGTGCTCTTTCTGGTCCATTCTAGCATTCTCCATTCGCAACGATGACTGCAGGACCAGAGTAGATGCACTTCAAGGGCAAGGCTGAGAAGAGGCTCTAGAAGGGCCACTTTCCAGACGTCCAAGGTTAGATGGGAAATTGCAATGAAAAAGTTGATGGTGGTATAATTATGCTTTAAAACACATTCTCTACATATAGTATGCGGTCGTATAGTTATTGTTTGAAATATAGGAAAGAAACAGTCTAAGATAAAGCTACAGGAACATACGACTGGATCTAGATTTAAAAACAAAACAAAACTACCCAGAATTTCTACAGCAGGTCTCGTCCCCCAAGCTTCACAGACTACTTACGTGACCTGAGGTGTTGTCTGGCGGCTTTGTTTGGTACAGGTTCTGTCGTTCTTCGAGTCTGACTGACAACAAGCTATCGGTAACCAAGTTTTCATCCCATAAAAGCTAAGCAACTTCCACCAAACCCCAGCCAAACTCACTGCCATTGAGTCAGCACCATAGAGGGGGCAAGTTCCTGAGACTGAAACTGTTTAAGGAAGTAGAAAGCCCTGTCTTTTCCCCATGGAGTAGCTGATGGTTTTGAACTACTGACCTTGCAGATCACAGCCTAACAAATAACCACTGTGCCATCATCAGGGCTCCTGCAACCTCTCAGGAGGCAATATTTAGAAGTTGAGGCTCCGGAGGTAGAGGTGGATTTTGCTTCTTAAATGGTGCCACTTCCCAGCTGGGCTAGTATCATTTAGTAAAGTTGCTTTAACACCTTTTAAGTTTCAGTTGCTTTCTTAGTCAAAGGGCCAACCAGCCAAACCTGCTGCCGTCGGTCCAGTTTTACCCACAGAAACCCTGTAGGAAACACTGTTCCATGAGGTTTCTGAGACTTTGCAGGTGAAGTCAAGCCTCATCTTTACTCCATGTAATGCGGGTGTGTTTGAACCACTGACCTTGTGATTAGCTGTTCAGTGCTTACTCAACTGTGCCAACTAGGTCAACCACAGTAACTCACAGTCAGTGAGTCAATCCCACCTCATAGCGACCTTACAGGAGAAGGAACCACTGCCCTGAGGGCACAGCTCTCTCTGGGAGTAGAAAGCATCCTCTTTCTCCTGAGGAGCAGCTGGTGGTTTCAAACTGCTGACCTTGAGATTAGCAGCCCAGTATCCAACCACTACACCACCAGGGTTCCTCTAGGTCAGTGAAGGTGACCGCTGAACAGGATTGTTGTGAAGGTTATACAAGACTACAAACTAAAAAGTGCTTATTAGTACAGTTTCTGGGACACAGGAAGCGTATCCTGCATTAGTTATTATAAGACACCCCTTAATTCTGTGACACTGTGAGATGGCAACTGGTGCAGCAAGAGCCACGCCCTTCCCAGCAGTGGGAAGTGAAATGAGGCTTTCGTGTGAAATACCTGAAGAGGTCATGGGACTGGGTGGGTACGGGACAAAAGACTCTCTTCCTTTAAATGTATGCACGTAACTAAAATGCAAAACCGCCAAGCTGAAAAAAAACATTTTCTTCACTGATTTTTAAAATAACTTTTAATTTTAAAAATCCCCAACGGACTAACTCTCAATACTCTCCGTAGGACACTTGGTTGCAGTCAGGGCCCGCCAAGTCTGCTCTGAGCCCAGCAACCTTCGGAGACAGAGCGGAACCAGCTGCCCCAGGAGTCCTAGGCTGCCTGTCACCCTTACAGAAGCAGAGCTGCAGCCATGCCGCTCTCCCTTGGAGGAGAGGGGGTTTGCTTGCAGCCTAGACCGGCCGGTCAGCAGACTAGTCGTGTTTAACGGCTGAAACACGATACTGTGCACCTCCGACACCACCATTCTCACTCATCGGTGCCCCACCCCAACAGACCCCAGGTCATGCATTTACACGTCTCAGTGGTCCAGCCTGTTGTACCTAAAACTGAAACGCACAAACTTCTCACTCAAGAATTCAGTGACGCGTCTTCAACTATTTCTATTCTTGTGAAATCCTGAAATTCTTCAACAAACGGATTTCAATGATGTTGGCCAGTTTATGACTTTTTTTAAACTCAGGTAGTCCTAGATTTGTAGAGCAATGCATCTGTTTATTGCGGCTGATTAATCATTATTCCGAAAGGACTTAAAGCGCTAACAAGGTATTAGTCACTAATCTCAAAGTCATCAAAGGGGAAAGCAGCCTTGACGGAACCTCTCAGCGCTCCACCTTCAAACAGAACGCAGGAGCAAGTAAATAATGTACACATACTTTTAGCACAAAGCTAAAAAGTGCTTGCCAAGAAAGAGACATGAAATGTACTGTTACCTCATTTTCTGCATGGAGATCAACTTCACCCGCACACTGCATGGAGCTAAAAAAATTGCTGAATTTTTCATTAATTTTTTCTACCAGTTCCTTTAAAGGGTTTAGCCATCTTTCTTTTACCTACAATTAAAGGCAGCATAAAGACACGGATGAAAAGAAATGATACTATTTAGATGCAAAATTTCACACAAAACAAATTTCATAACAGTATCAATTTGGCCAGTAAGAATACACATTGCATGTTTTCTCTTAGATGTATATCACTCTATTTTACACTGTTCTTTATTTCCATAACATTAATGGTAAGCATATGATAAAAAGAAAAGACAAAAATTAAACAATTACCTGTGAAATGCTTTCCCTGTATTTATCCAGTTCTACTTTCTTTCTCTGTAGTTCTTCAGTTAACTGTCCTATTTCTTCTTCCCTTCTTGCGTATTCGTGAACAATCTGGCAAAGGGGGAGGGAGAAAAAAAGAAAATAAACCTACCAAAGATAAAATTTTGCATCAATTAAAACCATCATTGAAAATACCAATTGTGTGGCATTGTTTGTATGCAATTAATTTATGTTCTCCTAACATACTGAAAATGTCGTTTCTGTATCTGAAAAAATATTAGACATTGCAGTGTTTCAGGTTAGCCCAACTATTCTTTTTATAAAGAAAAGGCTCAGAACACTGTGTTCCTTAGGAAGAATCTATTTAAAATTCTAATAGATTCAGAATCTGGCATTTAAAGCACATTGTTCCTGCTGTCTAGCTTATTATTACCGAGAGCTCTGGTACAGAGTGGGAGGCAAGTACTGGGGAGGAGGGGGAGAGAGAGAGAGAGTGTGTGTGTAGAGGTGGTGGTGGCGAGTGCTGCCGACTGGGAATAAGGATAGAGGCATACTGTCGGATTCAGTCCTGTGAAGCAAGACGCTCTTGATCTTTCTTCAGTTAATAAAGCATCGATTTCATCCAAGGTGTTGGGAAGATCTTGGAAGGCCTGAAGGAGAAAGAAATGTCTATCATCACAGATAGTACAGTTAAAGCAGCTGGATTCAAATGGCTCAAAAAATCTGCAGAGTAGCTAGCTGCTCTGTGTTCAATAGCATACTAGCACACAAGAGCAATGCAAAGGAATTATGAACAGGGCTTCTTGCCTTCAAAATGTTTGTCATCACTTTCTAGAGGAAAACAAACAGTACACACTGATTTATACCTTAGACAGTGCATGGCTGCTGCACATTAAAGTAACGGGTCACATCAGACAGGCTACAGGGAGCAGAGCAAGAATCAGCGCATGCTGCAGGGGAGTTACGAGGAGGCAGAGACCCAGGATCCAGCTCTGGGCTCAGAGCAAATGGTTAAGGGCAAGGGGGAGAGCGGGACTACAGGCGGGAAAGAACGAGCAGGGCATACCATAGGGGGTGAGGAGCTGCGTCCATTTGGAATGGTGGGTACTTGCTGAATTGGTAGGATGGGTCCAGAATATGTGGGGCGGTGAAAGAGAGCAAGAAGTTAGAACTTTATACTGTCATCATGAAGAACTACAAAAGCATCCTAGAATCCAATTCCTGGGACAGTCCAATTGCCCAACGTACTCCCTCTGGAGTCGATGCCTTAGAGACACATTAGAACAGACACTTGCTGACGGAGGGAGGAAAGCGGAGACGCTTTGTCTAAAACCTGCTAAGCTACCGAATGAGTCTGAAAAGGATCCTTAGACATAACATCCTGAAAAGGATCCTTAGACATAACATTGTGTTAACTGAATCCCCATTTTTTTTCTTTACCTTTTAGAAGTTCAACATCTAACGCCTAAACTACCCCCCCACCAAAAAACAAAATAAAAAACCCAAAACACACACACCAAAAAATGAACTCCTTTTGTACAAGTCACTTCCAATTCCCAGTGATCGTACAGGACAGAGCCTTTCCAAGGCTGCGCTCCTGCAGGCGGCAGAGTGCTCGCGTCTGTCTCCTGCCGAGCGCCTGGAAGGTTTGCATCACTGACCCAGCTTCGGGTTAGCAGCTGGGCGCTCTCAACCAGCGTGGCACCTGGAGCTCTTCCTGGTTAAAAACTTCAGATACTTAGTTTATATAAAATCTATCCGGGTCAGGGGTGCTCACACCCTGCAGGGCTGCACATCTGCATATAATTAACAGTTGGACCTTGAATAACACGTGGGTTTGAACTTCCTGCTGCTTCTGCGCAAGTGGAAGTGCAAGTATTTGGAGATGTGTGGTGTTAACCTCTCTCCAGGATAAGCGGGCCCCCACTTCCAACCTGAGAGCCATTCGGGAGCCACCTGTACTTTGCTGAACCTCTAACCTCTCTAGCGAGTTCACAACTCAGGTGCCAGCACCTTACTCGATGATATCGTCTTCACTGGACCCTAAGAATAAACCAGCCATCGCTGGTGTTGGGAGCGATTCCCAGGTTGGTCAGCAGTTAAGCATTTAATCACTGCGCCACCAGACTCCTTGACTCTCTCATTCATAAGTTTCAGAAGATGAAAACAGTCTTCATTTCACCTACCTGCCCCGCCCCTTTGGACAGCCGTGATGCTTATCCCGTCACCTCCATTTCAAGCCAATGGCCCTGGAATGTGTCCAGGGATGAAGTAAAGGTTTACTCGTACCTTTCACCTCAAACCCATTGGCAAGTTCTGCTGGCTCTATGCACACCAGATACTCCCATTCTGTCAACCTCTTTCTACGCTGCCACCCTGGTCCGACCAGTACAATCTCTTGCCTGGCACACAGCAATAAGCTTCTGAATGACCCTGCTTCCATTCTTGTATTCCTACTCTATTCTCCATGCTTTTTGCATAACCTGAAATTAGTCACATCCCTCCTCTGCTTAAACTCCTGAGTCCGATCTCAAGAGAAGAGGACACAAATGCCCTCTTGTCTGGAAGGTCCTACAGGCTCTGGCTCATGCTGACTTCGAAAACAGACTTTGAGTCTCAATTTCCAAGCATGCCACACACACACACACATACACACACACTTGTGCTTCCCAGGCTTTGTCCTCCCTGATCTCTCGGTCTGGAATCCATCCTCTCAGTCTTTCCTTAGACTTCCCCCTCCGTCCTTCCTGGTCCTCTCTGCCTGGAATACTGTTCCTTCCTTTGTTTCTCTTCAATCAGCCCTCATCTAAGGACTCCTCTCAAAGGATCCTTCTGCGGCCACCCTCTTAGCCCTGGGCCTCCACTGAAGCTTTAACGTCTCGGTGGAGAGTTTTCCCCTTCTTAGCACCTCTCACTACCCACCTTGATTTTTTGGTCTGCCCCACCCGCCAAACTGGAATATATCTAAGTTTTAGCAGAGAAAGAAGCATGTCTGCCTGGTTCAATGCCTGATCTGAGTTATCTTCGAATTTATCCTTTTCTAAAACAGTGTAACTTATCAATGAGTGACTCATGCTCCTTTCTGACAGAAAAAGGTCGTACAAATCCAGTGCCAGTGTTTGCTTTTTTCACGAGAGCAGAATGTACTTGGGAGAAGTTCTAGTATATGTTAAGAAATAAGCAGCTCAATTTGCTTGCAAGTATCTACTAAATATACCCCAGTAATCAATTCAGTCCATGTTGTCTTTTCTTATATTAATTTTTTTTTAAAAAACAGGGATTTGAAATTATAATCCACACAAATCATTTTCCAGTGCTGTTTATATAATCACCAGACATTTGATTATCTACCAAAATAGGTAATATTTGAAATTATAGATCAAAAATACACATGCGACTATCAGATACTTAAAAGTCTGTTTTCTGACTTTCTGCTGACATTATTCTAAGAGTAGGCATATACGCACAGTATCCCACACACCAACTTATCAGATGAAGCCCAGGACCACAGGGCCGCTACAGTTATTAGAGGATCTTGGATTAAAGGGTAACATTTCCTCGTTCTACTAGCTCAATGATATGCAAGCATATAAAACATGTAGAGATAAAGAAAGACTTTTCTCACCTTTCCTTATTTCTGGCTCTAAAGATTTAGCTTTCCACTGAACCCCAATTAAGCACTTAATTTTCTAGGACAACACTTTCAATTCACCTGTTTTTTAAAATACCAGGCTGGCTACTATTTCTAGTAGATCAATTACTGGCACTTGGTTTCCACGAAAACTACATGCCACCTACCAAAGGTAGCATTGGGAGTGGGGGTTGGGGGGTGGAACCACACTTTTATAAGAATAAATGTTACAGTACCAATAGTTAATGCATATTTGAAGAATTTAATATAAGGATTAAGACTGGTTAAGCAAGAGTTTGAGTATAGCAGAGAAACGCTATTACACAAAAATATATACACATCCAGTTTTAAAATGGTGCAGGGGTGGTGGACGGGAGACACCCGCTGCTTTCATAGCACATCGCGTTCTCATGTCTACTCAGGGATCTGCACGCTGCCCTGCAGGAGCGAGTTCAGCACGGTAACCACGCACTGCGCACACTTTATACTTACTGTCTGGTACTGTCGAGGGACCGTCTGCGCCGCACCCAGGTTACATACTTGCCTAGCTCTCTTCATAAGTTCCTTGCATTTCTGCAATAGTCGATTTCTATTTTCATCCAACTCCATGAAATTTTGCTATAAGAAAAAAGAAAATCGGAACATTTTGAAGGGTTGAGTATTAAGTCAGAGGGCTGCTTTAACAAAACTGTTTCGCAAGTTTATCAAATAAATTGAGCCTTGATTGTGACAAATAAGGCATCTGAAGCCATCTGAAATCAACTGTAAAAGGTTAGATTTGAACTTGAACTTTATATCAGCACATCAGCTGGGTATGTGTCTAAGCCATAAGCATTCAGAAATGTAAATTATCCTTTTCTGACTTGGTTTAATTTAGCTATAATCATACTTTTTTTAAAAAAAATCATTTTATTAGGGGCTCATACAACTCTTATCACAATCCACACACACATCAATTGTGTAAAGCGCATTTGTACATTCATTGCCCTCATCATTCTCAAAACATTTCCTCTCCACTTAAACCCCCGCCATTAGGTGCTCATTTTTCCCCTCCCTCCTCCCTCATGAGCCCTTGATAATTTATAAATTGTTATTTTGTCATATCTTGCCCTGTCCGACGTCTCCCTTCACCCACTTTTCTGTTGTCCGTCCCCCAGGGAGGTCACATATAGTTCCTTGTAATTGGTTCCCTCTTTCCTACCCACTCTCCCTCTACCCTCCCAGTATCGCCACTCACACCACTGGTCCTGAAGGGATCATCCGCCCTGGATTCCCTGTATTTCCAGATCCTATCTGTACCAGTGTACGTCCTCTGGTCGAGCTAGGTAGAATTTGTGTCATGATAGTGGGAGCGAGGAGGAAACATTTAGGAACTAGAGGAAAGTTGTATTTTTCATCGCTGCTACGTCGCACCCTGACTGGCTCGTCTCCTCCCCAAGAACCTCTGCCAGGGGATGTCTAGTGGCCTACTCATGGGCTTTGGGTCTCCACTCCGCTCTCCCCCCATCATTCACTATGGTAAGATATAATCATATTCTTACTCGTTTGAAATACAGTCTCTAGGCTTCCCATCCGAGCACCCAGCACTCAAATGCAGGTAGGGTCTTATCTGCTTTGGTCGTTTTCCGAGTGCCTTACTGTAGTTCTCATGTGTTCTTGAACTCAGTAATCCCTTCACCAAATAAGTACCGAGAACCTATGAACGGGGCTTCAAAAAGTTCACAGAAAAATGAAGTTAAAGAGACAATGGAATTTTTCCATGAACTTTTTTTTTTAAAGACCATTTTATTGGCGACTCTTACAGGTCTTATAGCAATCCATACATCAGTTCTATCAACCGTATTTGTACATATGTTGCCACCATCATTTCTGAACATTAACTTTCTATTTGAGCCCTTCCTATCAGTTCCTCTTTCCCTCCCTCCCCCTATGTGCCCCCTTGATAAATTATTATTACTTTTATATCTTACACCGACTGGTCTCCCTTCACCCACATTTCTGTTGTTTGTCCCCCTGGGGGGAGGTGTTATGCATCAATCATTTGGATTGGTTCCCCCTTCCTCCCCTCCTTCTTCCACCTTCTCCCTAACCTTCTGGTATCACTACTCCCATTTCTGTTCCTGAGGGGTTTATCTGACCTGGATTCTGTGTGTCCTGAGCTTATCTGTACCTGTGTACATACTCTGGTCTAGCCAGAACTGAAAGGCATGACTGGGTCATGATAGTGGGGGGTGAGGAAGCCTCAAAGGACCAGAGGAATAATGTGGGTTTCATTGGTGCTATACTGCACTCTGGTTGAATCATCCCTTCCTTGTGATCCTTCTGTGAGGGCATGTCCAATTGTTTACAGAAGGATTTGGGGGTCTCTGCACTGACTCCCCTTGTTCTCAACAACATGTTTTTTGTTTTGGGTCTTCTGATGCCTGTTACCTAGTCCCTTCAATACCTCATGATCACACAGACTGGTGTGCTTCTTCCATGTGGGCTTTGTTGCTTCTCAACTAGATGGCCACTTGTTTATCTTCAAGCCTTTAAGATCCCAGATGCTGTATCTTTTGATAGCCGGGCACCATCAGCTTTCTTCACCACATTTGCTTATGCACTCGCTTTGTCTTCAGTGATTTTGTCAGTGAAGGTGAGCATCACAGAATGCCAGGTTGTCAGAACAACACGTTCTTGTGTTGAGGGAAGGCTTGAGCAGATGCCCAAAGTCCAACCACATCCTCATTGTATTGCCATATAAATATATCTACTTAGGCCAATACCTATTTTTATGAATTAACATATTTACATATGTACACACCAAAGTTTATCCCTTTCCATGAAATTTTTGAAGCCCCTTGTATTACACACTGAACATAGGCAGGTGAAGGGAAAAACGATGCAAAATCATCACCATACAGAAACATACCAAACAGAGTACTCATTACGTGCCGCGCCCTTAGCCAGGTCCTTCACATACACTATCCTGTTTACTCATGTCTCACAACGCCACAGGGCAGTAATACTGCCCCCACTTTGCACATCAACAACCAGAAGGGCTGAGAGGAAATGATCAAGTATCCAAGCTCCCCGAGTGTCTATGGCACACAGTGCTGTCCTCTCGGTGGGGGCAGACTGGAAGGAATGAAGTGACGGGTGTGTGGTGGGGGTGAGCAATGCAGAAGGGCAGAACAGTCATCCTGGAAGCTATGACAACGGAACAGCCGTGACAGGCAGGTAAGCGATTACTACAAAAGAAGGCAGAAGACATTGCACGGACAGGCAACGGTGAATGGAGAGGCACAGAAGTCTCACCAACCCACATATTTTGGGAACAAGTAAGCCAACACTGTTGGAAGAAAAGTGTACCTACAAAGTGTACCTACGGACATGAAAGATCAGGGTGGCAAGACAAGGTAAGAGCCAGATGGCAAAAGTTTCATGAAATGAGAAGGGCTTCACTGAATAGGTCCTATCGGCCAGGCATGATCCTATACATTAGCTGGAGTCCCTGGATGCTTAAGACAGTTATAGTCGCTAACTGCAAGGTTGGCCGTTCAAGTCCCCTCAGGGGCACCATGGAGAAGAACTGACTTTATTGACCTTCCTTCCCAACAACCAGCCAATGAGAACCCTCCGGAGCCCAGTTCTGCCTGTCGCACCTGGGTCCCCAGAACTGGAACCGATCCAGTGGTACCCGGTTTGTTTCCCTTGGCTGACATGAACTAGTGGAAACCCTGCAACAATCTTCAAGAAGAGTATTCTCTCTTCTTTTAGAAGTGGCTCAGAAATGTTAAATAACTTGCCTGAGGAACAAGCAGAGGCGACTGTTCTGAGAAAGAAAACCGGTCAAGCATGCTCTTCGCATTAAACCTCAGACTTTGGTTTATACAGAAATGATAGGGGGGTGGGGGTGCAAGGCTGTATTATGGAAACATTATTGATGCTCTAGCCACACCCCAGAACTATTCCATTAACATTTCTGCGTCCAAGACCCATATTATGAAAGAGGCTCTCTGTGATTTCTGTGCACACGCGAGCATATGAACTAAACCAAGACAACAGTTATAATAAATAAAAGGACATTCACCCACTTCCCACGTAATGGCATAGTTAGGTTCCAAAGAGCAGGCTGCTAAGTGAAAACTGATGTTATATAAAAATGGGAAGATGATTATATCATTCTATTACATAACTGCCAAATCAAATCATTGTGCAACTGCCTAACCATTTTGAATCAAGGTCCAGCCAAGTTTACACATAACCTTACTCCTTTCTGAACATTATTCTCATTTCAGCACTTGTTATTGCCAGATGCCCAACAGAGTGAACGGTGGGCGTTTTAACAATGACCGTAAATGTGAAACTTAGCAAAACAAGATAGTGGATAATTAGGAGTACGTGGAAACTGGACTGAACTGAAAATGAAAACAATACTTTATATTAATTACTTCAGTACTATAGGTTCTTTCCACTGATTCCTCAATTGCTACAGCCTGGAGGTTGAGGGTGGGACAGAAATTAAAGGCTGCCATTCACCCCTACTTTTTGTAAGGCCCATTGTATTCAGGCAAAGACTAATTAAAACAACAACAACAAAACTGAAAAGCAACAGGCAGCTAGATGGAAAAGAAATACTTCCAATGCCTTCCACTTCTATTTCCTATTCTTCTGCATCTGCTAACATAAAATATCAGCTCATTGAGGGAGAGAACTATTCTTGAGTTCCAGGCCCGGGACTCAGGAGGCCAAAACCTTACTCAACAGCCTTTCTGTTTTGTCATGTATGTCTAGTGGACTCTTTATCTGGGAAAATGCTCTTTCTCTCCACATGTGTTTGTGATCTAACTCAGAGGGAGAACCTCTGGATGCAGCAGGACTGCTCCACAGAGCTTCCTGGCTCGAACCCTTCACAGGGGCAGACTGCCTCCTGTCTCCCCTTGGGGATTTGACTGCCAATCTTGTGCTTGGCAGCCTAAAGCTTAACCCATTGTGCCACATACCTCTTCAAATAGCTAGTACCTGTTATCATTCATTTTAAGCACAATTCTTGCTGGGGAAAAAATGAGAGGGGTGGGGGGAATTGTTTAAGATAATACTGTGAAGCAAAGCTAGAGAAAAAAGCTTCATTGACATTTTTATTTAGAGTCTAGCCTTTAATAATTTGCCAAGGTTAGAAAATAGTCACCTGTATTGGGGGAAAATTTACAAAATTTCATGCCTCAGTATCTCAGAAAAGATTACACTGTAGGTGTGCATTCTGAGAGAAATTATTAAATGTGATTTCTTCCTAAATACGTACCTTTTGAATAAGACCAACTGACATGAAAGGTATAAACAGCTCTCAACCTGTGGGTCACGACCCCTTTGGGGGGATCGCCTAAGACCATCGGAAAACACTTATTTCTGATGGTCTTAGGAACTGTGACACCACTCTTCTGTCTGTCTCCAGGCGGGTCCACCCACACGCAGATACCCCTACATACGAGTACCGGCTTGAAGACCGTTACCCATGCTACACCATGCTTCAAGACAACATTTCATTTATCTGTCATGAGAAATCAATCTTTCACTACATATAATTACATACTGTTTTTGTGATTAATCACTATGCTTTAATGATGTTCAATTTTTAA